CGAAAATATTTGATTTACAAATAAGGAATCCTACTTCGCGGAATTTCATTTATCACGGTAGGGTCTAGAACCGATTAACCGCAATAAACGAGGGTTCACTGTATTGACTACCTCACCTCTCTCCCTTCTACCCGTAGTACCACTAATAAGCTTTAGCAAGGGATAAGGGTTCAATTTTTCCCACATTTTTGCTAACATTTGTTTTCAGATATTTTTGTTAGTTACTTTTTAAAAATCTAAGCCACTCTTGTTAGATACCGTGGAGTTGGTTCAAACTCATAGCAACCCTGAGTACAACAGAACAAAACGCTGCCCAGTCCTTTTTCCTTTTCACAGTTGCTTGCTTTAGTTCAATGTCAGTTCTTCCCAGTGGAGATAAGATAGTTTCTCATTGTGATTTAGATTTGTGTATTTCTAATGGCAATAGAAATTGAATATGTTTCATGTGTTTTTGACAATATTTATGTCTTCTTTGGTGAAATGTTTGCTGGAATCTTTTGTATATATTATGGGTATTAAACCCTAACCTGTTACATGGTTCCAAGAAATTTTCTCTCTGTAGGTTGTTTCTTCACTTAGTTGTTGAAGCTCATTCTGCTCCAGGCTGAAGGATCAAACTCTGTTCTGGGTCATGTTCTTATCATAGGCATTTACAGACGCACACATGACCTAGTCATATCTTGTCATAGAGTCTGGGCCAAATCAAGTGAAGTTGTTGTTCTTGTTAGGTTCCATCAAGTCAGCTCCAACCCATTGTGACCTTATGCACAACAGAATGAAATACTGCCCAGCCCTGTGCCATCCTCACAATTGTTCCAGGGCTTGAGCCCGTTCTTACAGCCGTGGTGTCAATCCATCTCCTTAACGGCCTTTGACTTCCCTTCTGCTTTGCTAAACATGATATCCTTCTCCAAAGATTGGTCTCTCCAGATAACATGTTCTAACTATGTAAGATGAAGTTACCATGTCTTTGCCTCAAATGAGCACTCTGGGTGTGTTTTCTCCAAGACACATCAGTTTGTCCATTTAACAGTCTATGGTACTTTCAATATTCTTCTCCAGCACCACAGCCCAAATGCATTGATGGTTCTTCAGTCTTCTTATTCAGTGTGCAACTTTCACATGCAGATAAAGCAATTGAAAATACCATAGCTTGGGTAAGGTGCATCTTAGTCCCCAAAGTAACATTTTTGCTTTTCAATACTCTAAAGAGGTCTTGTGCAGCAGATTTATCTAGTGCAGTAGTATGTCTTTTGATTACTTGACTGCTGCTTCCATGAGCATTGATTGTGGATCCAAACAAGACAAAATCCTTGACCACTCCTGTCTTTTATCTACTTATCATGTTATCTACTGGTCCAGTTTTTAGGATTTAGGCCTTGTTTATATTGAGTTGGAATCCATAAAGACTGCAATCCTTGATTTTCATCGGCAAATGCTTCACGTTCAGTATTCCCTTGTCCCATTCCCACTGATTCATGTATTAAGTTCTGAAGGAGCACAATGAAGTGTTTTGGAATTCCCATTCTTCACAAGATTATCCATAGTTTTTTATGATCTGCATAATCAAATGCCTTGGCATAGTCAATAGAACACAAGTAAACGCCCTCCTGATATCCAATGCTTTGTTGTAAGATCCATCTGATGTCAGCAGTATTGTTCCAGTTCGTCTTCTGAATCCATCCTGAACCTCTGGCATCCCCCTGTCACTGTACTGCTGCAAGTGTTGTTGGATGATCTTAAGCAAAATTTTATTTGCATGTGATATCAATGATATTGTTCTGTAATTTGAGCATTCTGTTAGGTCACCTTTCTTTGAATAAGTTCAAATAAGGATCTCTTCCAGTCCAAGTGGCCATCTTCCAAATTTCCTGTCATAGATGAGTTGCCATTGTTGTCATAGCAATGTTGCCATTGCTTCATTAGCTTATTCAAACATTTCAATTGGTATTCCATGAATTCCTGAAGCCTTGTTTTTGGCCAATACGCTTTCAACACACTTTGAACTTCTTCCTTCACCATCATTGGGTTTTGCTCAGATGCTACTTCTTGAAATGGTGGACTATCAGCTAGTGCCTTTTGGTACAGTGACTGTATACTTTCTGTTTCTGTTGATCTTTCCTGCATCATTCAGTATTTTCCCATAGACTTGTAATATTTCAACTCGAGGCTTGAATTTATTTTTGAGTTCTTTCAGTTTAAAGTAACTGAGCATGCTTTCCCTTTTTGTTTTCTAACTCTAGATCTTTGCCCGTTTCCTCACAATAGTTGACTGTGTCTCC